ACACACACACATATATATACGCACACACATTATTATTGGGTAGATGTCCTAAGGTTAAATGCATTTCTTCTGACCATTTTTTAGTATCATGCTAATTTCATATTAGGCCATATTAAATTTAAGTGTGTATGAGTGTGATGTTTAACATTCCAGTGGACTATCCACACACACTACCCAATCCACACAGTCTGAAACACAACCTTCCCTCTAGATTCAAGGGCATTCACACCACTCCCACGTAACCTCTGCTCTCTGAAACCCCATTTAATTGTCCCAAACACCAGACAGAGACCCCCTGTCCCCTCTCCCTCCCTCTCTCGCACCCACCATCCCTATCTCTCCAGCTGACTGGGGACCATTAAGTAGTCCGGCGCAGCCAGCAGCCATCCAGACAGGCTCCCCAGTAGCAGGTGCTGGAGTGGGGGGCTTTTAAGACTGTGGGAACTGCAACCGAACAGCTGTTTGCTGGTCACCCAGACAGAACATGTAGCCAGAAGGCACTCTGCGGGGTGCTGTTAAAACACTTGGCCCTTTCATTTTTGGCCCTTTTGATTAGCAGGTAAAGCAGTTGGGTTTTTGAGTATATCTTATTTAAGTTAAATACATAGTGTGAAGGTTGAACAGAGTGTTGCTTTAACTTAAAAAAGACAGGGTTGTCTTGTTTAAATACTTAATTTCTTAATTTAAAAAAAAAACCCTGCATTGTTCTACCATCTCAAATACAGGCCTACTTCTTCAAACATGGTACCATTAAGATGTAAAAAAAATAACTACCACTTACTGTAGATCATGGTCATTTGTATTTTCTAAAATCATTAAATAATCACAAGACTACTTGGACCTAATGAAGCCAGGGGGGTATAGATTAGCCCATGTGCTCAGGCTGTGACACACACACATTCGCACACACGTGAGAGAAGCCCCTAGTGTCTTCATTAATCCAGCCTCTGTCAGGGAAACCAGAGAAGTCACCATGGTCTCGCTCTCCTATTTTCTCTCTTCTCTCAGTAGAGGTAAACAGACATGAATGATGAGCTTTTTAAACCCTCCTGTGACCGTTCCCTCTGTCTTTCTTTTTCTCTGTGCTTCTGGAAAAACAAGTTCATACCATCTTTGATCCGAGTGGGTGTAGAGCACCCCTCAAAGAGAGATGGAGAGGGTCTATTTGGGGACAAAAGATTACTAAACGAACCCCTCCTGCTCTGGTTCTGGTGTTATGTCACCCTACAGTGTGCTCTGAGAAAACCAAGCGTGGTCTTCAGCTCACAGTCAAACTGAAGAATCCATTTATTGCCACACCGTCTCTCTCGGTCTGTTCATGCTTTCTCTCTCTTCATCTCCCTTTCTTTTCCCTTGACATTGCAAGTGCCAACCCCCCCCGACTTTCCTCCATCTCTCCCTACCACCCTCTCTTTCTCTCACCCTGCCTTTCATTTCATTCAAAGGGGAGGGGAGGCATTTATTTCTTGGCTACCTGCCCATTTCTATGATGGCAGCTCGTCTCATTATCAGAGGCTCATCTCTTGCTTATTTCTGCTTCAACTCTGGCAAGCTGGCATCACAGCTTCAGTGTGTTGTCGCTGTTGTTTAATGTCGCTTTCTTTTCAGCACAAGCGCTGCTGGTGAGCTCATCATTAGGGATTTTTTTGTTGTTATTTAGCTATAGTCCAGGTTCTATTTAGAGAGCAAGTCTGCATCTGCACGTGCGGACTTGCACATACATGCACACAAAAAGGCAGCCTCGCTCCCTGTTGGAAGCATGAGGAATTATTAAAGAGCCCCCTTCATTTTTTATTTTTGACCCTTTTATATTCACAAAGCGTAATCAGAGACTGCCCTCCTAATTGCAACCAGAATGAAAGCACCACATTACTGACACATGATTGCAAATGGTGGATGGAAATAATTGTCCCCTTTTCTTTGTTTTTCATGTTCAGCTTGCTTTCACTCCCCGGCCAAATCACTGCTTTGCCAAGAATCAGCAAGACCTTTCTGTTGGAATGTCTGGGGAGGGAGTTGAAAGGGGAATAATCGAGGCATGTTGAGGTGAAAGGAAAAAAAGGCTGTTTTGCATTAGTCCACACATGTACATATTTACTGAGGTAGACACAATAGCGTTAGCACTTATACAGTATAATGCAATCCGAGACAATAGTCCTGCGATAAATGCTCGTTTTGTGGAGCCCTAGATTCAGGGGCAGGGCGGATACCCGAAATTGTTATTCACGTTATGCACACAGTTACACAAATGCCTGCACACACTGCACATACTCTAGGTCCAAGGTACAGCTCAGTCACTCAGTAGGAGCAGTGTATTGGTGTTGTGATTTGGTGTCTGTCCAGGTAGCATTGCCGCAGACATACTAAGAGGATGTCTGCCGTTTCCCATCCTTGCATGGATCTGTATAAGCACTCTTAGAGTGCCGCTGGTGTATATCTCCTCAGGTATTTTTCCACTCTCTCTCTCTTTCTCTATCCCTCTCTCTCTCTCAGACTGACCCCTTTTTTCACTGCAGGCAACACACAGTCACTTTTCTTTCATTTTTTTAATGTGGGTTTTTTTGTTTGAAATTTGGTTTGTTCATAATGTGACAGGAGTGATAAAAAGATGGCAGCTTTCCAGACAGACTTTGATTAACTTATCACGTAACCTATTTTTACACTCTTCAGGAAACTAAACGTGCAAATGAGATTGAGACAAAGAGAGTGAGAGAAAGATAAACCGGGTGGGGGTTGACCGAATAAAATATTTTCTGAAGCTGCGGCCTCTGAGCTTCTTTGATATGTTTCAGGTCCAATAAAATGGCACTCTTTTTTGCTTGGAAAGCAATCATTGACAGAGATGGGACAAAGCAGAAAGAGAGTTACTTCAGTTGCTTTAAATGATGCTGTCATGGTTATTTCTTTGTGTTTTGAAAACTAAACACCTATAAGCCACTGAGAGCTTGCATTGGTAACTGAAAAGACCAACTGTTTGGGTTTTGTTTCATGACTGGGTGGCAAGCAGGCATCTATCAAATCAATAGATCTGAAATAGTGCCAACTCAGCCTTTTGTGAAACAGACACTTTACACACACAAACTCGAAACCTTATTTAGTGGTGCAAGCAGTGATATTTGATACCTAAACACCTTGATTTAGATGCCTTTAAAATGTTTTTTTTTTAAACTAAGATAAATGTAGTCATTGCACTTTAACAGCAAGACTATCCCTCCATGTTAGAAGAGGAAGTGCAGTTATTGTAACATATCTTTTTTTCCTACTTTTTCTATGATTTTGTATAAAATAAAATCAGTGATAAACTGAAGTTAAATTCCTAAATATCTTCCAGAAGAATTCCTTAATACTTCCACTTGACTAATTTTTGCATCCACTCTCCATTGCCTTGGACATTTGTCATGCAAACTAAGATTAGGCCTTTGCTTTGTAATAGAAGGCTCTCATCTGGTTTGTTTTTAAGTTTGAACAACTTCTAACTTTCTTAAAAAAAAACTGGCACTGTTACAGCAGTTGTGAGGGATCACTTCTGCTGTGATGTTTCAGTAGTTTTCTGTCTGTGTTCAGCTGATGGTAAACTGTGTGTGTGTGTGTGTGTGTGTATGTGTGCAATCAGTCTGACGACCCTGTGCGATAAGGCTGCCTGGGGAGTGGAGATAAGTGTGTTCAGGCAAAAATTGCATTCGCAGCCACTCTGTGGCGTGTAATGCAGTATCTTAAAGCCACATATCTGTCAGTATTTTTGTGTGTCTGTGTCCGCACACCTCAAACAAATGGACTTTTCTCTCATCTGACTTGATTGTTTTGACCAGTGGGTCTTTATCTCATGATGGATAACTTATAGTTATTATTGAAATCACTGCAACAATCTGATGGAAACTAATGGCAGAGTAATAGAAGGTAAGGCAGCTTAATACTAAACAAGGCAAATATTTTACAAACAGCCTGTGTCTTATAATTAAAGGTTATTGAGACACTCTTCTCACTCTCACGCAGCTGTTCAGGAAGTTTGCCAGAAATGTATTATCGTCTATTAGGCTTCTAATGACTATTGAAAAAGACTGCTTGTGTTGTATATGGTCTAGCATTGCACTTTGTTCATATGTAATGTGCTGTGGTCATCATAAAAACCTATTAAGCTTGTATATTTTCATTAGAAATATGATGTTTGCACAGGAATTTTGGCCATTTCATTATACACATTAATGTTCTTTTCTCCTCCAAGCATTTCTGAATTAATTTTTCCCTTCATGGCCTGTGTGCTAGTTGGATTCATAGCAGTTTTCATAGGTTTTTAGTCTGTTACATGATGCTGGCCTAGTGGTGTTGGCCAGCCTCATGCAAACATCAGTGCAGTGGTGATGTTTATGCATGCTGGATCAATACTCTCCCTGCCCTCACCCACTACCATTAATAAGATCATTGATTAGCTGCCTCCCAATGATTGATTACCCCTTTACAGCATCGAAATCAGTATATTATTAGTTCCCCCTCTGATGGGATGCTTTTGTGCCTAATGAAATTGCCTGTTTACAAAACCATGTTGAAGAACCAAGAGAATTTTTGGAAATGCTGTTTTTCGTGGTGTGGTACTGAATATCTAGATCATGCCTAAAAGTCTGTAAGTAGTAGGACATGATTTGCATGCAGTTCTCAGATTGTGATAACAACTGATCTGGAAGCATACACAATCAAATGCACATGCATGCAGTATGATGCATAGGCAGGTAGTGAGAAGCCAACAGACACACATATTCACACAAGCTTGGAGGAAGTGCTTTGTGGTTTCTTAGTGCAGTGCAGTTGGAGGAGGAGTAGGCCCGGCGGAGCGTAGGGAGTGATGGATGAGAAGCCATCCTGGTTTTATTCCAATAAATGAGCGACGTTCCACATGGGCTTCCCTTCACAGCCCCAGCCAGCGAAGCCACGATGGAGACGGATGGGCCTCTCACTGCTGGGTGTTAGAGGAGAGCAGAGGAGAGCAGAGGGGAGAGAGGGAGAAATTAAAGGGTGGAAAGAGGTGGGGGCAGAAAGTGAGAGAGGCGACCTGGACAGAGGGAGAAAGCGGGGGGGGGGGGGGGGGGGGGGGGGGGGGGGTTGAGAAGGAAGGGGCAAAACAAGACGGCGAGGTAAAGGAAACGAATTGGAAAGAGAAGTGAAAAAGGAAGTCAAGTGAAGAGAAAGGAGGATAGAAGGATGGATAAAGAAAAGAAAGCGAGGGCTCCATCTCCCTGTTTCTGTTTGGCTGACTGCACCAGGGCAAGGATATATGGATATGCCATAGCTGATATGACATGTAGCACGCTTGGCTGTGCATTCTGATTATACGTTGGATTGTAGAACGAACGTGCAAGTGTGTGCCCATCTCATCCTGCCAAGTCTGATAGCTAGCATTAACCAACCAAGAAGATAGAATTGGTCTAGGGGACTAACGGAGGCTGTATTACATGATGTTCCTTAGTCTAACCTAATGTATTTTTTCTTTCTCCACCCCACCCCCACCCTTTCTCACCCTCTTTTGTTTTCTTTTTTTTACTCTTTGTCTCTACTTTTGTTACTCCATTTCTTCTTTATTATTTGCATTTCTGCATCTTCTTCCACTTAAATCTACTTTTGTTTTTCTCTGACTGACTCATCTCCACCTACCTCCTGTGTTGTATTCCTCAACTTTGTCTCAACCTCTTTTCCTTCTCTCCCCTTTTCTCTTTCAGACATATCCCTCCAGAGTGGCCCTGTTGCCCAGTATGAGACCTCTCATTGGGGAGCCTCTTTGCCAGTTGACAGCCCCTCCAGTGCCAACAGCTGGGACAAAGTGATTATTGACGGAAGTGACACAGAATCTTGGCCCTCAATCAGCCGCAGTAGTGACCCCAGCCACCCTGCAGCACCAGAATGCCCCTTGGGCTCAACTAGCTCTAACCAAGACACCAGTGCTGTCACTACCACCAGTAGTAGTAGTTTTCTGAGTATGGCCACAGGTGCCACAGGCCAGCAGGCCCACTACCCCTCTCTCAAAGCTAACAATAATATGATGACAGGACCTGGATCAGCCAACACATTAGCTGGTAATAGAGGCTGGGGCTCTGATGGGAAACAAGATGGTATGAATGGTGGCCGAGTAGGAGCACCCAGTAACTGGGGCTCTCCCAATTTTAACTTGAACCTAAATCCCAATGCCAACCCATCTGCCTGGCCTGTTCTGGGCCATGAGGGTGGTGGAGGTGGTGGTATTGGCCCCAATGGGGTGTCAAACTCTCCATCCCTCCCACCAGGTATTAATGGAAATGGAAATATGGGAAATGGGAGCCTGGGAGGTGCGGATAATGGTGGGGGAGGTTGGGTTGGCATGATGAGTGCTAACGAAAATGATCAACAACACCCTTCAACCAACACAAGTTTGTCCTTCAATATGGAACCTGCTAACCTTAACACTGATGGACCAAACCACACTAAGCAACTGCAGCAAGCTCAGGAGCCTATGAGCCCTATCCATGGGTTAACTGGCTGGGGAGGCCAGTCACCCACTGAATCATCCCAACTTAATGGGGACACAACAGGCAGCTCTGTATGGGGAAGTGGAGAAACCAAGGCAGCTGACTCTCCCAAGGACTCAGGCTGGGACTCAACTCCCTCTGGAGGCCATTCTACTTGGGGCCGTCAAGGCAGTGGCGGTGGGAGTAGTGAAAGTGGTGGCTGGGGTGACTGGGGGAAATCCTCTGGTGGTGGAGAAGCATCTAAAGGCTGGGACTCAATAGATGCTGGTAGTTCTGGTTCAGGACAGGAACAGCAACTTAGCTCATGGGGCCAGCAGCCTGGTACAGCCCCAGCAAGCGAGGGTAGTGGAGATAGCAACGAAGGTCAATCCCAACAGAGAGACAGGTCCTCCAGCATGGATTATTCCCCTATGCTACCCCGGCAGGACCTAGACCCTAGGGTGCTAAGTAACACAGGTTGGGGACAGACGCCCATCCGACAGCACACTGTATGGGAGATGGAAGAAGCCAACTCTGATGATGGGAAGAGCAACAGCAGCTCAGACACCTTAGGAGGCTCTAGTTCTAATGGTGGACACTCATCCACCAATGGAGGCACTGTCAACCCAAACATTGGCCCTAACCAAAGGCCTGGGTCTGGAGGAAAAAGTGACAGTGAAGGACCATCTTCCTCTGGCTGGGGAGCTCCTCCACCTCAGCCAATCCAGACTGGATCAGGATGGCGGGACCCCCCACAGTCACTCAGCAAAGCCCCAAATGGCACTACCAGAGGCTGGGGAGACCCCTTGCCTACCAGTGGTCCTAGAAATGGAGGCACACCATCCTGGGGTTCTGAGGACAAGACACCCAGTTGGGACGATGGCCTGACGAAAAGTCAGACTACTAGCTGGGGAGAGGGCCCCAAAAGCTCCCATGGTTGGGGCAACAGTAATGGGGGCACCAATGGCTCCAGCACAGGGGAGTGGGGAGAGGCAGAGGTCAAGAACAATGGATCCTCCAGCAGCATGTGGGAGGGAGAAGCAGGGAATGGAGGAAGTGGTGGATGGAAGGAAAGCCCCAGAGGAGGAAATAGAGGAGGAGGTTGGGGTAAGCCGGCTCCTACTGTGAGTAATAGCAGCTGGGGTGAGACCCCACGTTCCAATGGCCCAGTGCAAGGAGGCTGGGGATCTTCCAAGCCCCAGGAAAGCAGCAGCAGCAGCAGCAGCAATGGCAGCGGAGGAGGTGGCAGCATTGGTTCATGGGGTGGTCCCGGTTCTGTGAAGCAGAACACACCAAGTTGGGGCAATGGCAACAAACAGGACCAGGGCATGGAGCCCACTGGCTGGGAAGAGCCCTCCCCTCCCTCCGTCCGCAGGAAGATGGAGATTGACGATGGAACGTCCACCTGGGGCGATCCCACGAACTACAACAAGACTGTCAACATGTGGGATCGCAACAATCCCAGTGGTAACCCAGGCAACAGCGGCCCACCTCCCAGTAAGAATGGTGGAGTGATTATTCCCAACAATAACAACAATCACTCAGTTGGCCCTAGCAACAACAATCACCATCACCCTCACTACATGCATCACCATCCTCATCATGGCCAACCCCAAACTCACCTGCAACACCATGGAAACAACAATGGGTCACACAACAATGGGTCACACAACAATGGGTCACCCAACAATGGTGCCTCACATCCAGGTGCGGGCCCCCAGGGTAGACCTCCCCTCGCCAACCCAGGTAATACAGTATGGCTGTTACTGTTGTGTTAAAAACCTCACATTTTTATATCAGTTAAAATAAGTAATATGTGACATTCTGAAAATGCTAAAAGTTACTAGTCTCTTTAAAACCAACAGAAAAAGACACTGGAATGTTAAAAATGCACTGTGTAAGGCAGATACTCAAAAAAAGGATTTAGAAAACTGCAGTTTTTAAATGAGAACATGAGTATGTTTTATTGAATGGTATTAAGTTTTTAGAGTTGGTCTTGATATTGAGCTGAATGAAGTACAGAGATGGGACAAAGTTTAAACTGTTTTTTTTTTTTTTCACTCATCTACACATAAAGTGACTAATTTTGATAACAATGGTTATTCCATTCAGATTATTCCTTAAAAGGATTCTCTTACAGTATTTGTTAAACTGATTCTCTCACTGGTTTTAAGGGTCTCTTAATGGTCATGCATACCTAATTAAGACTGTAATGTAAGCAAGCCTTAGTTAGTGCTCCAGTCAGTTCAAATAAATCTTTGTGGAGACAAAGGCCATGCATATAGACATGGCACAGCTTTAAGGGCCAACATTCTCCCCTTTTGATTGTGAATGAGACCATTGCCCCCTGCTGGTTGCAATTTGTATTGCACCCAGAGCATCATGAAACAGTTATACCCAATCATCCATCTCTACTGAAGCCAATATATAGAGGGAGAGAGAGAAGAGATGGAGTGGAAAAGCCTGTACCGGCTGGCCTGAGCTACTGCTTTCATCCGTCTCCCCCTCCTACGCATTTATACACACACACACACACACACACACACTGTGTTACTGCAGTGAAATTAATTTTTATCATTTTTTCTAATTCACTTCTTTCTTCCAGGTTGGGGAGAGCTTCCCAGTGTTCAACCCAAGTCGGAGCCTGCTTGGGGAGAGCCAGCAGCTCCAACATCAACTGTGGACAATGGCACCTCTGCCTGGGGCAAGCCCCCAGCGGGGGTAGGGGCATGGGGAGACGGTAGTCACGAGCCCTCTGGACCCTATGGCAGGGCCAATGGACCCCCAAGTTCTGCTCCCTGCAAGCCAGGTAACACCCACAAATGAATAGTATTTGCAGTAATGCATGATGTCAACCATGGGAAATCAGAATGTACCAAGATTCATGACTATGTTTAGTACCATTGGTTATTGATCAAACTCACACACCCCTTCTGGTTGCTTATACCTCCATAGTGAACTGTGACACAGAGCAGATCATTGTTTTAGGTTAGCTTTGGATGTGTTGGTATACAAGAAAAGTCCATACGATACTGCACATTGTACATTTACATAGTGTATGGTACAGATTGTGTGACATTTGGAAGATAATGTAAGTTAGTTTTTCTGTTTCAGCCTGTCAGTATAATTTGAGCATTTGAGATTTGGGTTGTGTCCAGTGATTCCCCCATCTCCTGTAAAAAAAAAAAATTGATGGTAACTCCCAGTATATGTGCACTACCATACTTCAGTTAATGGAACAAACAGAGGAAGTTGTTTGAGACCTATGCCATTTGTGCCAATTCTGAAGGTTTTTGTTAGTGTTACCGGAGTGTTGCTGGGATTAAAGTAATTCCACGCCTCAGTAGGTCTTGGTTATTTGTGCTGTTGGTTTGAAATGTTGGAAATGGTAGAGGGAGGTGTAGGAGAAAAATGCAGCATGTTAAATGGCAACAGTGACACCAAGTGGTCAGGTTGAAATGTACCTGCTGGTCACCCTCTGAAATGGCTTGTGTATTCTCAGTGTGCATGTAGGATACATCACAGATACTAAAACATTGTAACAGATAAGCAACAAACTTTTTATTGTTGTTTTCATCTTAAAATTTCTCACACTTTCATTCTGTCTTTGATAATTCATCTCTTTGTCAGGTCCCAAACCTATGCAAGATAGCTGGGGAAATGGAGGAGAGGAGATGGGCATGTCTACTAGCCAATGGGACACAGAGGATGGGGACATGTGGAACAGCCCCACCTCTCAGGAGAGCAGCTCTTCTTGCAACTCCTGGGGCAATGGAGTCAAGAAGGGCCCAAGCAAGGTCAGAGAGAACACCTGATTCATAAATATGCTGGAAGATGTTAACGGTGGAAATCATTTTCATCTAACAGTCAATTTCATATTTTGCTTGTGTGTTTTCAGGGAAAGATTGTCAACAAGCCAGATGAGACTTGGATCATGAACCGTCTCATCAAACAGCTCACTGACATGGGCTTTCCGGTAAGGAGACAGTATATTTAGAAATAAGTTCTTACACACATAGACTTTCTTTTAGGCTGATATTTCTTTTTCGATTTGTTTACCCAACTAGGCCTTAAAAGTGCCAATCTACAACCTTGTCAATTTCAGATTAAATACAGGCTCCTCTGCTATGCAATGTAGAAACACATGAAGATATGCACAATCAATTAACACAGTCATAAACCATAAGTATATCCTTCGAAATGTGAGAAAATGGTTAAAAAGGCAAGTAAACCATTGTCAGTGACAGGCTTATGTGCTGTGTTCCATTTGTTTATGCTGTGTACTTGTCCCTATAAAAATAAACAATTAAATCAACAAAATCCATGTGTTACAGAGAGACCCTGCTGAGGAGGCTTTGAAGAGCAACAACATGAACCTTGACCAGGCCATGAGTAAGTTCACCAACATTTGTGTAGAGCATGTGTCCTGTGTGTATATTGCAAATGCTATTATGATTCAGCGTGACTGCACAAATTCACAGCTGATTTAAAATCAGAATTAAATTATTTTGCCCCATTCCTACTTCAATTCAACAGGGAATAATACCAAGCCATGCTTTTCATGACTTGATTTCAGTGAACGCTAGATTTTGTTCACTGTCAGCATACCCAAAGTGTATATAGACATAAAATGGCCACTACTGCATTAGGTACACCTGTACAATCTAATGCAATTCTATACAACAGCTCTGACTTAACAAATTAAATGATATGTTTATTATTGAGGTCATTGTTAAAAGCGGCATTGTACTGGACTACATTAGATTGAATATAATTAATATTAGGAACTAGGGATATCCTAACTGAACGATTAGTATCAGCGCCGATCAAGGTATTTTTTAAATGAACAGTATCGGCTATATTGTGCTTTAATGTACCCCATCTGATCTTATGATCTGATCTTTGTGTGTGTGTGAGAGCAGGGCTGCCTCTGCTCAGAGGAGAGAGCAGTACACTCAACACACTACTGCAAGCACAACAAAAGCCTTGCAAACAAAAAGCCAATAAGAGTAATTAATTAATGTAATCTGCGCAAAATATGTAGATGTAGATGCCGCAGAATAGTTCATTCAGGTAACTCAGGCAAAGGCTGCACCAAACACTGGAGAGACAGCCCTCCCTCCAGACAGCGACAAGGACAAAAAGAGTTAATGTTTTAAGTGTTAATAAAGCACAGCTTTGATGCACACGTTTTTGTTGTCTTGATGCATTGCAGAGTAATTTAATTGTCAAGCATATACAGTAGATTGATTTTTTTTTTTTTTTACTTGAATGTACTTGAAGTGTCGCTGTGCGACTGAATTATCTAAAATTCAATTCAAGATGCTCAGTATTAAATCACTGATCGGATCAGAGACTAAAAAAAACTTCCCTATTAGGAAAACATCTAAATACAAGACAGTCCACTACAACAACAACAACAGCATTAAATATGACCTCAATGCTGAAATATATAATTGAATTAACTCTTTTGTGACGTCAATATGCCAACGTTATGCCTAAGAAAAGTAAGATTTATGGCAGAGCAGTTGTATTGGATTGATCAAACTGTACAGTGTATTGATATGTATAGACAAAAAATGACATTATATATAGACATTTAAAATACATCACTTTCGATCAAATACATTAAAAATATATAATTTGATTTTATTACGCAGTATATTATCACGTCTAGACTTTATAATAAATCCTCCTGTCTGCTCCCAGGCGCCCTGTTGGAGAAGAAGACAGACCTGGACAAGCGAGGCATGGGCATGTCTGATTACAGCAACGGCATGAACAAGCCCATGGGGTGTCGGCCCTCTGGACTCTCCAAAGACCCCTCGGACCGCAACGCCTTTCTTGACAAAGTAAGACATAAGCATCTGTTGGAAATGATGTGTATTGTGAACTGCAAATCTTAATCCAATCCCCACTCACTTAATCATTCATGTTGGTATTGTGTAATTATTAATGCTTTTTTTTTTCATCTCTGTATTCCCCCATTAACCATTCATTTTACTCTGTTCCAGGATGGTGTTATGTCTGATGATGCGCCCCCATCACCATTTCTGCCTTCCCCCAGCCTGAAGCTCCCCCTGGCCAACAGTAGCCTTTCTGGGCAGGGTCTGGGACAGGGCAACCCGGGGCTGGCCATGCAAAACTTGAACAACAGACAACAGGTAACACACTGTCACAGAACTGGTAAAAAAAATAACGGTATTGAGCAATCCAAATAATGAACCTGCGGTAAAAACCTTTGGGAGGATTATAATGTTCTGTTCATGTTTATGTAACATTGTTGAATTTGTGAACATTTTGTATGTATATATAATAATACAATTTTGTGCAGTGGATATTTTATTGTACCTGTCTTTTTAATGTATCATGAAACATTTTTTTATAGATAAGAAAACATTCACTTCACATTGATACACATCATTTGCGGTCCACAATTTAAGACAAAAATGTAAGTGTTTGAATAGCTGCTTTTTTCACCATAGAGTATACTGACAGTTACCAAACATTAGTCAGTGCAAACATATTTTGATCAACAGATTGTGTTTGTCACACTGCAAATGCTTAAAAATGAATGGCTTCATGCAGCATTCAAGTGTATATAATGTAATGATGGCAGCAGCAGATACATTTAATTAGTTTTACACACACCTCTCTACTGCACGCTCTCCCAAATCTCTACTTTTCTATTACTCACTTATGTGGGTATGACCTTGCCTGAAGTGCCCATTGAAATCAGATAGTTATGCTCTATCAAATATCACCCCCAGAGGCAGCCATGGCCCAGAAAAACTGCAGTGTGTCCTTGAAGCCCAAACAAAGGCACTTTTTTCTCCCTGAATAGAAAGACCTCTTCAACAACATGGTATCGGAAATGTGGATGAAGCTGTCGTGTACAGGCTAATTGTTTTGGGCCATTTGATAAATCAAAAGAGACAGAATTTCATGATCATTTCATGATAACAACTAGCTGTTCATAGTGTTCAGTATACGGTTTGGTGCACAAGGTGTACTGTGAAGTCAGACCTTGAGGGTAAATGCTTTGAAAAATGTTTTTAGACATTGCTATGTGGGCTGAGAATATTGTCGACCCACGCTAGGCTCTTGAGTGCACTTTAAGTTTTCTTTTTTATCTAATTCAAGTGCACTCATTTGTAACCCATCTAATTTATAAAGACTTGACACTTGAATGCTCAACTATTGGCTGCCTTTTCTGAAGTGGTCAAGACTATGTTAAGACATTTCTTTCCAAGGCAGTAGCTCAGCTAATCACTAAGGAAATGGTGTCAGATGCCTTCAAATGGTTTTGAAGAAGTTTCATTGTACCTTTTCTGATTCCTGCTTTTAGATACCCAGTGGAATGTTTGGCAGTAGTGGAGCAGCACAAACCCGGGCCATGCAGCAGCAGCCTCCTCAGCCACCAGTGCCACCTCTCAGCTCCTCCCAGCCTACTCTACGTGCTCAAGTGCCTCAGTTTCTCTCCCCTCAGGTAGATACACGCACATAATGATGTAGGTATTGGATGTGTAACATGGTGCTACATCAGTTCATAACAACCAGGTAAAAGGTGGTTGGCGGATTGTGCTTATTGTCCAATCATTTATCTACTAGTGCATCTTTCTTCTGCATAAAACTGTGCCCTGCCGTTGTGATGACTGAGAACACTAACATACTTTGATTGCTTTTGAGAATTATTATCTGTTTTTACACTTCCCAGCGTATGCGCAATCTGAGTAATATGTTTCTCAAGAATCAAAAACTGCCAGTTTCATTTCAGCCTGTCATATTCCAAATTGTAGAAGTAAATCCACAAAAATATATTGTGACACTGGGACACCTCCCGCAGACCCTTTCTCTTCTCTTTTCCTCCTTGCACCCATGTAGTAGTGACTAGTTCTACCTTACCAGAAGCTGCTCTTGTACAGTTGTTCTGACTTGCAATAATTAACTTGTCTTCTCTCCTTTCTGCCCCCCCAGGTCCAAGCACAGCTCTTGCAGTTTGCAGCAAAAAACATTGGTCTGAATCCTGCACTTTTAACCTCACCAATAAACCCTCAACAGATGACTCTCTTGTACCAACTTCAGCAACTGCAAATGGTGAGTAAGGGTCCCTCTTTTCATCTTTATTCGTAATGCAGCATGTAGTTGAGGATGTGTGTTGTGGAATTTTTTTTTTTTTAGAAGATTCAGGCTCTAATCTAAATGGGGATGAAATCAAAACCCTTTAGTTTTTTTATTTTAATTTCTGTCAGTGCAAGAATTAAGACTAGCATTTTGACAAACTAGAGCTAAAATGCATTAAAGTAACAAAATATGTATCACACTTGACGTCTTTGTCCCACTACCCCTATTTTTCCTTCCATTGAATTAAATTTTACTTTTGGTTCTCTTCATTCAGGCGTACCAGCGTTTACAAATCCAGCAGCAGATGATGCAGGCGCAACGCAATGTTTCCGGCCCCATTAGACAACAAGAGCAGCAAGTGAGTCAACAAAATAAATCATTACACCTACAAAAAGTATGACCATAAATGTCAGTCATTTTATGTGTGTGACCCCATGTGAATACTGACTCAAAACACTGACGCAACATTTTTCTCACAAATATTTTGTTTCTCACATGATACCATAACAGCAAAACAAACATATGTTGTCATAACATTAATTGCTCAAACTAAGATATCTGGATCTGCTCAGCTCACTTCTCATAGAACATGAGCCAACCAGTCTTAAGCCTGTTGTGAAAAGGAGGAACAGTTTGTTCTCCTTTTTTAAAATCCAACGTCTGCTGCAAGATAAGGTCTTTTGAAAGAGGGGATGCTTTTGTGAACAAGTGTTTGTTTCTCCCACTACCATCTCAACTTTGCCTTTGAATGATCTTTCCATTACACCTCTCTTTCCTCTTTTTGTTTTCACTGTTGATACTTTGTTATGACACTGCTACTTTCCTGTCCCAGGTTGCACGTACAATCACCAACATGCAGCAGCAGATCCAGCAGCATCAGCGTCAGCTGTACCAGGCGCTGCTGATGAAGCAGCAGCAACTTCCCTCTCATTCCTCCTCCTCTTCTTCCTCCGCTGGTCTGCATGCTCCCGGTGGCCCCACCGGAGGCCCTGGCTCCGGCAAATCAAACCTGGATCCCTTCACAGGCCCACACCAGGCTCCGGGCCTCGCCGACACACTGCACACCAAAGAGCCGCCGTCTTCACCCAACGCCTACAGCACCTACCCTCTCAGTGAGTCTGGGATGGGGACAATTGCTAAAACGTAGCTTGCATGTTTAGAGTAGTAATATTCTTCTACAGCCCTTGAGGTAGCAACCCTGTCATACATACATTAGCACTTATGTCATACAGTGTGGCCACCCATTCATACATGCATTATGTGAACCACTAATGAATGCGCCAAACCAAAAACACAATCAGTGTATAGTCATTTTTGTTTAAGAAATACATGCAGATTCACATTTAGGCCATCTCCTGACAACATATGAGATCCTACAGCATCCCCTAAACAAGGGTCAATTATTTTGTGCAATTAATTGTTTTTAGCTGTTTTTACTAGATTTTGTCACTGGAATGCATATTATAAATAAATAATTAATCAGATTATTTTGCATGTGTGTGTAGCTGGACTGAATCCAAACATGAATGTAAACTGCATGGAGGTTGGGGGTCTGTCCCTGAAGGAGCCCCCTCAGCCCCAATCCCGCCTGTCCCAGTGGACACACTCCAACTCCATGGACAGCCTCTCTGGCAACTCCTCAAACATGGAGAACAACCTCAATAAGCACGGTACGTTGATGAAAAACATAGGCAGGCATGCACACATTCGCACATATACATACAGTAGAAACTAATTAATTTAACATTTCACATATCCTATGAAGTTATTTAATTAAATTAATTAACATGTCATCTTAAATACATGTATGCATTATACAGATTCTGTACAGTCCCCATGCGTGTCAAGTGCTGCAAAACATGATTAACATCATAATCTATCATCTCAGCCATCCGCCCTAACACATTTGAGGCTCTCGGACTTGTTTATAGATAAGAAACTTAACAATTGATACTAGATTATCATCGGTTTCATTGCAACACTTAAGGTCTCGTTTGCCTTTTGTCTTTGCATTTTGTTTTTCACACATTGTCATTGCAAGATCATTACCAGTTAAGAATCACACAAGCAGCAACACTCATTCGGAGGTGTCAGAATAACCTCCTCAGTTACAGTGATAGGTTGGACAGAAGCTGCTTGATCCCAGTCAGTTGGTCATTTGATAGCTCAGGTACACAACCTCATAAAGAGCCCTGACACCAAATTTATTTAGAATGGGAACATGGAAATGTTCTATGAATATAATATGACATTTAATAAATAATAAATTTTTCAAATGTGATTTGCAGAAACAGTGTGTGTGTACACATGTGAAAAGTGTTAGCCACTTTCTAGAACACATTTGCACTGTATATTGTGTTGTGACGAGAAACTAGCTAAAAGACATTAACTTGCTGACTCCCACACTTACCATCTTAACATTTGCGATAGTATCTTTTTTTTCTTTTTTTTTTACACGCCTTCGGTTTTCAGTCTAATACTCTGATAAAAACCTTATTAGCCACAAATACTTATCTTTAAGTATCACCCATTTTCCCTTCCATGAACTATGGAAAGATGAACCCTTAAAAGACACTCAGAGCATCAGTAGATAAACTTACTATAGACATCACTTCATTCTGAAAAGGCCCTTAAATCTGTATGTATAGTATTGATGTTGAACTCTTTAAGCTGATGTTATTGATGAACAAAATGTTTTAAAATAAATTGAATATGATTCCCATAATATACACAAAAAGATAACCTGCATATTGTTTTCTAACTTTACAGTATTTTCGATTTTTGAATATCTGGAATTAGGTGCCATATCTGCTGCCTCTACCCTGGGCCCCCCTGGGAAGCCCCCCCAGCTGGAGGACTCGTACAGCCCTTACAATCTAATGTCCAGCTCTGAGTCCCCCACCAGCCCCTTGGTGCCCCCAGACAGCTGGGGCCAGGGCAAGAGCCCCAATGAAAAGATCTCCAATGGGACCAACATTAACTGGCCCCCAGGTGAGAACAAGATGCAAATAAATAACCTTACACATCCTTATTTAATGCTCAACCTATTTTTCCTAATTAGATATCTTCTTAAGAGCTTGACTGACAGATGACTCACTCTATTTTAGTCTAATAGTCTGATTGATGGTCCTCAACAAGAACAGCAGTTACAGCTATAGCAGATAATGCGGATTCAAATAAAAAAAAGAGCAAAGACATAAATTCACAATTTGAAAAATATTTGGCTTGAGAAGGAATCAGTTAAAGGCCAACCCCATAGATTTTACATACAGGAAAAGCAGTACAAGTTCAAAATACAATGCCAAAGGTGCCACTACAGTGTAAAAAAGGAGCTGCCTAATTCATTTCATGTTTTCTGCAGAAGTTGCAACAGTTTAACAATAACTGCGAAAGCTGCGGTTTGGAGGCTTGTGTGAATATTTTAAAGGAAGTCATGAGATGGCTCCTCAACTTCCTCAAGATCTGATCTTGCTACTTTAAAAGCCTTTATTATTTTACTCCCTCAGAGTTCTGCCCAGGCGTGCCATGGAAGGGCCTTCAGAACATCGACCCTGAGAATGACCCCAACATGACCCCTGGCAGCGTCCCCAGCGGTCCCACCATCAACACCAACATCCATGACGTCAATCGATACCTCCTGAGGGACAGGAATGGAGGTATGAACAGAGGCAAGGCCACTAATATCAATTTTAATCAATAACCAAATTGTGTGGAAAGTGAATCAGATAAAATTCACTTATTATTATTTGACTTACACAAGCTGACCCATGGGACTATCTCTAGTACACCACATGTCTCAATATCATGTGCTTGTACTGATGCATGCATGAACTTGTATTTCCTTTTTTCTCCATCTCTGGTAACAACACTGTTACTTCTACGACCATATAGCCACTTCCCCAGCTCTTCTACTTCAGAATGGCTCTCTGCCTCCAACCAGCAGTGACTGGCCTGTCAGTGGCTACTCTAGCTCTTTCAGTCTGTCGTCCTCTGATGGAGACAGCTCAGGTACACATCCAGAGTATCTTCCCTCCATGTGTGGACCTGCTAAACCTCTCCTCATCCAAATGGGAGCCCTGTAAAACGCTGTCTTAGAATCCCTTCTTATCCTTACTCGACCTCACCCTGACCCGTATTGATGACCCTTCTTACCCTAAGTTACACCTAACTTGTTCCCTCAGTGCCTTTTAAACAACAAGTAAGACACCAACCTCACCCAAACGTGACCTTTAACCATTTGTGCCTCTTTGACCCAACCCACAAAAAAAAAAAAACCTCACCCCAGCTGGTCATGATATCAGTACACACCCTGTGTTTGTTGTTGTTTGTTTCTGTGTGTGGGTGATTTAAGATAGATATTCACAAACAATTCAGGTCTCTACTTTTTGAATATGTAATTTTTGAGCTGTGATTCTTGTTCTTTTGTAGACACTATTTTTCTAGTTTTTGCATTTACAAAAAGGCAGGGATTGCACATATGTCCAGACCAGTGGTACTTTAACCTGAAAATATTTGTGTTTTGCTGTCTGTCCGAATGGCACAGTAGACATAGTTTGTACATTGTACACTTCAGCAAGTATGTCTATATTAACATTATTAAGATTGAAGATAACTTTTACAGCAGAAAGATTTCAGGTAGATGCAGATGTATGTTTTTACTTGGTATGTTATTATTATATTTGGCTCATTGCAGGTTTAGTGAATTCAATTATATTATTGAAACATTTAGCTCCTGCTAAAGATATTGTGGTATTATGTGGACCAGGAACATAAATGAGTTCTTGCGAGCTTGAAACGTTAGTCAACCAACTTAGTACATCTTGGTGTCTTACTGGTTTTCTCTCAACCATCTCCCCACCTTCTCTCCATCTAAAGGTAAACTGTCTGACATGAAGTCCACCTGGTCCCCAGGGCCCATCTCTCAGAGCCAAGCCTCTCTGTCCCATGAGCTGTGGAAAGTCCCTCAGGGGCCACGCAGCACCACAGCCCCTTCCCGGCCCCCGCCAGGCCTCACCAACAACAAGCCCTCCTCCACCTGGGGCGGCAACTCACTGGGCCTGGCCCAAGGTTGGAGCGGCTCCTACTCCTCTGGTGAGCACTCTCCTCTAAACCAGAATGTCTGCATTTAAGTTTTAATAGAAGCCCCTAATATAACTGACTTGAACCTGAATTTCAAAGCATAATATTGAAAAAAACTAGATCCCAAAATGATTTTGTGTTGACTAAGCACATCAACACTTGTGAGTCTCACGTTTCACTTTGAGGTGTTTCATACCAGGACTAGATCTGCTTAAACTATATTAACATCGTTACAATCTAGTCTATTAACTTATATTGAAACAAATAATACTATGTGTTGCTGCTAAGACCTTATCTGAGATGTCAGGATTGAAACAAATTCTGTTATTTAGAGTAAACCAAGAAGGTTCAACAATGCCTTCTTGAATTGAACACGTTCTCTGTGATATATTTCACACCCAGCAAACATAAACGTGACTGAGATGCATAGGTGTGGCGGAGTTCACAGCTGCATCTGTGCACTCGCAGTACTCGGGATAGAAAGGCCGGGTGAACACACCCTGCTTAAACTGACATTTTGAGGTTTACCGTCTCTGCGAGTAGCCTTCTTTGATCCTCGTAGATGTGACCTTGTTTTGAAAATTCACGCAGGTTGAAGAGGAAAGACTACTTTTAGTAGCGCAGACAAGAATTGTATGTGAAAATGTTCAACGGTTTGTGAAAGGTGTCATGCTTTACTGAGAGTTGAACTCTCTGACCTTCAGCCTAGAGCTAACAGGCCCTGAGAGTTATTTGACAGGAAATTACATTTCGTACAGTTTCCCATTTTAGAATTCTATTATACGGGTACTGTCACTTCAAACGTATTTGTCACATACTCTTTGTCTTAACTTTTGCCAACTGAACGACTTTTTCACAAGTCACAAGTAGGGATGTCCTGATCAAGGGTTTTTAGCCTCCGATCTGATCGGAGTCATTTAATATTGATTATCTGCCAATACCGAGACTAGATCCAATACTAGTGCAGATTTTACCCAAATTACTGAATGAACTGTATTTTGCTGAGTGTTTATTTATGTTGTCTCTACATCTTTTGAGCAGATTACATTAATTAATTACTCTTAATGGCTTTTTGTTTGCCGGGCTTTTGGAAAGGAAAAACTTAGCAGCTCTACTAGTTTACTTTTTCTTTCATAATTTTTCCAATAAAACACTTAATGCTTAACATTGTATCTGACTGTGTCTACATTTCTGTTACAGAGGGAACCACCTGGAGTACTGACAGCTCCAACAGGACCAGCAGCTGGCTGGTGCTGAGGAATCTCACCCCACAAGTACGTCCTCTGTTCTGCTTATTTTTGCTAAATTGAAGCCATAGTGTATTATGATTAGAGCCAGCATATATATACATATTGGGGATTCAAAGATAGATCTAGTCATAGAGCATTGTTAAAAAAAACTAAACATTAAACAATTAATCTGATGGATTAGGTGTTGGATAAGAAAAATGTAACAAATATGATTCTCCTTTTAGTTAGAGTGATACAAAATTGCATAATACATTTATTTGCAGAGTGGAGAAAAGGCGAAATAAAAAAAGTGAGATAAAAACAACCGCCTTTGTCTTGAATATAACAGTATTTAAAAAAGACAAAACAAAGGTTAAAAATATAGCATGGACAGTGAGTAAAGAAAATACAAAAATACAGTGTAATAAAAATGAATAGATTTAGATATTATATTAAATTTTCTTCCCTTTTTTCATATTGTGCTTCAGATTGATGGTTCAACTCTGCGGACCCTGTGCATGCAGCACGGCCCCCTGATCACATTCCACCTCAACCTGACCCAGGGGAACGCTGTGGTGCGCTACAGCTCCAAGGACGAGTCTGCCAAGGCCCAGAAGTCTCTGCACATGTAAGCCTTAGCAAAGTGTCTTACATCAGCCAAACTCTTAGCAAACCAAATTAAGCAAATGTCTTTTTTTTCTTCTTCTTCTTCTTCCTCAACTTCCACTGCTTTTTTTTATGTTAAAGTGAAACAGCTATAACAGAGAAAGGAAATGGGGAACACTTTGGGAAAATACGATGTTTTTGGTTTCCTCATGGTGCTTTCCCATGCTGATTATTGCTGAGATTATTGTTAGGCCAGTCACATGGAAGAGGAGGTGGAGAGTCATGCTGTAGTCAGCTGTTATATTTCACAGTGAGTAGTGTAATAGTCAAAGTGAAATGGTGGGAAACACAAGTGTAGAACAAGTCTGGGGGTATATTGGCTGTTTGTGTGTTTTAGATTCATCCCTAATTTTGTTTTGCTAATAGTGGCAGCCACTGCAACTGGTTGTCATGGAAACAAAATCCAAAATGCGTGACCCACTTTTCAACAGCAGCAGCACAAAATGTGGTTATGGCAGGGCACAAAAAAGCATAATAGCCTGATCAAGCTCTAAAAAAGCAGTGCCATTTATCTAAGAAGTGTGTCAGGTCCCATTTTTATTTAGAGAACACATATTTATGAAAAGTATTGGTTATACTTATACTTATTTCTAGTTAAATTATTGTAAGACCAATAATTTCCCTTTTTTTGTCCTCTGTTAGGTGTGTGCTTGGAAACACCACCATCCTGGCAGAGTTTGCTGGCGAGGAGGAGGTGAACCGATTCTTTGCACAAGGCCAGTCGCTAGGGGCAAACACCACTAGCTGGCAGGCCAATTCGGTAACCAATCAGAACCGGATGGGGGCTTCGCAGTCCCACTCTATTGGCCAGTGGAGCAGTGGCGGCAACGGAGGCAAGGCCAGCGGAGGCGACCTGCTGTGGGGCGGGGTGCCCCAGTACTCCAGCCTGTGGGGGCCACCAAGCGGAGAAGACGCTCGCGTGATCGGGAGCCCCACCCAAATTAACACCCTACTGCCTGGAGACCTGCTGAGTGGGGAGTCCATGTAGGGTGATGCCACGATACACTAACCAACCAACCAACCAACCAACCAACCAACCCACCACCACCATGTCATTTAAGCCATTGGTGGAAGGTGGGATGGATAAAGTAAAAAAACAAAAACAAAAAAAAAAAACAGGAGCAAAACCCAAGCAAATCATGTGGCGATAATCAGTATCAATTTGAACTGTTTTGAACTGTGAATTGTGAATCAGAAGGCTGGGGTCCCTACCACACAGACTGCAGACTCCAGTCCTTCTGTTTTGCTTATGTTTTTTTTGTTTGGCTTACCTTTTTTGGAAGAAAGAAAGCAAGTGTTTTTTTTTTCCTTTCGGTATTTTTGAAATGCATCATATAAAAACAAATTGAAATGAGACACAACACAAAGAAACCTTTTAAGTGTTTTTAGTTTTTCCATAAGTATACATGACATTCTGTGTGAAGTGTTTTTAGGAGAAGCAATCAAAGCTGCCATCTGAGACTTTCCTTTTCCCTCCAAAAAAAAAAAATCATCCCAAAATAAGACTTAAAACGACCATTCCCAGCATGTCCATGGCCAATGATGTGGTTCAAAGACCTTTACTAGTTATGTTAACGTTTGTTTCTCAGCACTAATATTAGCCTTAAGTGCTCTCTGGCCCAGGTCCTTCCCAAGCCGACTTTTTTTAGTTTGTTTTGTAACTAAAGAAATAGCTGAAATCTTGCACAGTTTCACCCTCTGAGCCAGCAAGTGGTACAGGATATGACCGGTGACGAACTCTGTCACTGGGCTGTAAGAAGGCCTGGCCACATGACTGGCCCTACCAATCATCAGCTTAATGATTTTAATTTGTATTCTCATAGGGATTGACACAGCTGTTAAATGTTCTCCTTTTTCTTTTTTTTGTAGGTCTAGACCCAAGCGCATTTTTTTATATCTCTCACAACACATAAGCTGAGATAAGATTATTTGTGAACCTCGCTGCGTCTCTCCGTACACTGCTGTGTACGTTGGGTGGCACCTAATCATTGACATCTGCAAGCCCAGATCCTTCTGGTCACCTTCAACTTGGAACCCAGTCGCCTGCTGGTGCTTTGTTGAATTTTCTATTGACCGATTTGTTATAAAGTCCAGCAGTCTGTATGGTCAGCCAGTTTTCGGAGGAAAAAAAGAACACAATTTCACCTTCATGTGACAGTTACATTGTGCAATATACACCATAGACCTTTCTTCCGTCCATAATCTATGTCCACCGGAGCTGGTTTCACTTTTGTTTTGTTTTTTTGATTGTTGCTGATTGCAGCAAAAGACTTTGGAACTTCAGAAAACCTTACCCCTTTTCAAAACTTGGATTCCCTCCAGGCTGCCAATCCCCTGAAACTGTTGGGAAAACTCTGCAAAGAGGAAGAAGCAACTGTTGAACTGTGCATGCAGCAAACTGTACTAAAGAGTGAGAGAGTACAGAATAATGCACACTTCCTCTCTGCATGCCACAGCCACACCCAACAGAGACTGAATCCACAGTGGGATTGGATGGTTCTGGGTATCTGGCACAATACCAAATAAGAGGGGTTTCTCCTAATGCAGTAGACCTACGAGTGTTCCTTGCGTTTGGTACTGTACAAACAGAAGAGACTAAGACTTTTATAAATTCAAAGGGTTTTATCATAGCACTTATGAAGAGCAAATCGCTTCAACTGCAATCCAATAAATCAAAAAAAGGAGCAGCAAAAACATTGAAAACAACAAAAAAAGAAAAATACTGCTCTTTTATGTACTATATCTATTCCTTGGAAATGTGTCTGCCGTTGTTCCTCTGGTAGCAGGATGAAGGGAAACAAAACTGAAACATTGGACTTTGGGGAAAAAAACTGCAGTCGGATTTGTATTTTTTATTTTTTTTCCTTCTTTGGACAATATCAAAGTGAATATCACTGTTACTCCAAATGTTTAGCCTTGTTCTGTTCGGAGGCACTAGACTTGCAACGTCAGCTGTCTCTGACAGCCGCTGGCCAGTCGGCCGGCCGGTCAGTCAGTCAGTCAGAGTCAGGTGGGGAGGGGGGAGCGTCCACTGAGTGCCTCTCTGCTGTGGTCCTCTGGATGTCAAACGGCAGCCCCACAGCGCAGCACTTCCTCCTGGGCTCCACTTGACCCTCCCTCAGTCTCGCAAGAAAAAGCAGCTGCTCCAAGACTGGCCAATCACGGCTCTCCGCCACACGTGGCATCTCCAACGGGGGGCCTGCCACCACTCGACCCTGCTGTCGTTCCTGCCCTCTCCCCCATCTCTCAGTTCTTTGACACAAAGATCACTTTAGCTGGAAGATGTAATAGTCATATTTCTGGAATTTTTGCCAGTGTACTTTTTATTTTTTTGAAAAAGGTCATTTGACTTTATTTTTTTCAATGTGTTATGTTATTTTTGTCTACATGCAGTGGTCTACAAAATACTGGCTGCTGAACTAGCCCTTCACTGTTCATATGCAGAAACACTTTGGTCAGAGGTGCCTCTGTATGTTCATCCTGTGTATTGAATGCAAAACGAGGATCAATACTACAGAGCGTTATTGATTGTCTATTTGTTTTTAACTGATCATGCTTTTGTGTTTGACAGTATTCTGTAGTACTTCCAGGTAGTATCTCGAGATGTGTAAAAATAGGGTGTCTCAGACGGGGGGGTGTGGGTGTTTGTCGCTCCAAGCTGCTCCGCCTGCCCGCAGGCTGTCCCCCGTTGCCCTTTGCCTAGCTGCTACGCTATGACCTCCTCCTTCACCTCAACCAGACCCAGTAGCCCTCCCCTGACCAGGCACCAACAGGCCCTCCTATATGTTTCTATGCAAAAGACTAGAGGCTGGGGCCCTTTACAGCATGCCAAACCTGACCTGGGAATGAGCACTCCTCCCAGACCTTGGCAGACCCTAACACTTGTCCCCCGTGCGCTTCTGTCAGCACTTCAGAATGGCCCGCCGTTTCTGTAAAGTCAGGCTACACCACCAGAACACTGTCGTATACTAAAGTCCAAACACTTTATCAAAGGTCGGCCTTTCTCTCTGCGCTGAAGACACTTCTGTCCAGCTTGATCTCAGGGTAGGGGAGTTGATGATACCAAGTATGAGATGCAGCTCTCCGTATCTGTCCTTTCTACTGTGAGAGCAAAGTCTTAAATTAAAAGGCCATCTGCGCAAACAATATGTACAGACCTCATGCCTCGAACTTAATCCTAATTAGAAGGGGGAAAAGGCTTGTATTAAATCCTTTTTCTGAAAAGGTGGCCTACCGTTACTTTTTGGGCCTCCTTATTACATGTAAAAGATGCCAACGTAATGTGCCAATATAAATTTGCTGTGTCATACTGTATCTTTATAGAGAGCACTTCTGTTCCCTGTTTGGAGGAGCTTTGATAACCTTTGCAGAGGGTGCAGCGGGGGACAGGAGGGATCAAACAAATGTGCGACAGCATCACACCCTTAAACGACTGAGGTTTCTTTTTTTTGTTTTTTTAAATGCTTTTGTGGGGAATGCCCAATGCTAAGGAGAAAATCTTTACTCAGTTGGGGGTTCCAGTTTGCTACAGTGCACAGTTGATGATGGGTAATCCCGGGTACATATTTTTTTAAAACCAAAAATGAAATCGCATTTTAACGTCATTTTTATGAAGTTTGACATAAAAATCTTAAAAATGCTAAAAAATCTAAATGGAAAAAAAAAAGATCTATAATATGTTAAAGCTCTGCACTTCTAGCTGAAACGTCTCCGGTCATCAGCCTCTACTACCACCATCTAAAGGAGTAGACTGGTGGCCGGGGTGCCTTTTTGTGGATGCTGTATTTATCTCGTTTTTATGTTTGTGTCCTGCTCAAAGCGGGCCCACTGAACTGTACATTTCCACAGACCCAGATGGCTTGGGCCCACTGTATCAGCCTCACTCTCCTCACTCTGCATCAGCAGGAGGGGAGGGGCACATTTCAAGAGGTACAAAGTCTTAAAACATTTTAAAAAAAGTTTTAAAAATTAAAAAAAAAAGAAATAAAAAAAAAACAAGAAAACGGGAAAAGGCTACCTTTCAGGACTTGCAGTCCTGCAGCACACAAGCAAAAATCACTATTGCCTGTTTCTGTAACTGCCTTGATCCAAGCTCAGACAGACCCAATAGCCGAGGACCTCCCAGCATCCTGTACTAACTGGAGAACCCTGACAGTGAAGGGGGTTTCCCATGCTGCACCAGCATCGAGAGGCTCTCCTCTCTACAGCTCTGTTCTAGATAACAGTATATATGTATACACTACATATATATATATAT